TGTGCCTAAATCTTTTTCAAAACCTGTTGTTGGTTCTCCCAACTCAGGTGTATGTCTCAGGACCAGGGAACTCTCTGTCTCTTGAGATAATATGAATAGAAACAACACCCTCATCTCCTAATTCTAGTGAGAAGCCAGAAGCTTAATTTCAGGGATAATTTGCTTCAAGTCATAAAATTATCTGCCACCATAAGACAGAAGTTTACTTCTGTTTTAGGTAAACCAGTTAAGAAACATGGATGGACAGCCTGTGATTGCTCTCACTTCATCTTTTAAAAGCCCTAAGCCCCAGTTGGACAGAATCATATCTGACTTCAATCTGACCTCTCTTCCATATTGCAATTGCCTGAGTAAAATTGTCACTGCCTGTTTGACTTGGTTCTATTATCTACTATCTCTTCAGTGACAAAAGATCTCCATGGGGTTGGAGTGGGACACCAATTAAGAAAGGGATTGTTTTGGCTCAAAATTCAAGGGTTCAGTCCTCAAGGTACGGAGTCGTGGTACAGAACTATGATGCAGTTAGTCACACTGTATCCACAGTCAGGAAGCAGTGAGATGAACACTGGTGTTCTGTGCCCAGTCTCCTTGTTACTACATCTGTTATCTCATCCCATGGAATGGTACTATCTACATTTAGAATTCGTCTTTCCTCTTCAATTAAACCAACACAGAAACTCTCACAGACTTGCCCCAAAGTCTGTCTCCTAGGTGATTCTAGATCCTGTCGAGTTGATGACACTAACCATTACACTGAACAATTTCTGGATTTGACCATCACACTGAACAATTTCTGGATTTGACAGAAATATTCCTCCTGGTTAGGCTCTGTATTCAGCTATCTCATTACCATCTCCCCTCACAGCAAAAACTGCCTCCAAACCTCGAAAATGATTTCCCAATGGCAAATTCAAAGGTTCTATCTTACTAGGTCCCCGGACCTTAGAGCAACTGATTTCATGCTTTATGCATCCTTCTAACCTTACAACACAGCAACACCTGGCAAAACAGGAACAAGAGCATAGTCCACAGTTCTAGAAAAGTTCCTAAATGATTAGCCTTCTCTTTTGGCTTCTGTAGTTCTTTTTTGTGCTAACTGAATTACAGCAACCAGGATTTGGGTTTTGTGCCTAAAAGACAAAGAACAGGCAAGGTGGAGCATGCTAGAAATGACCCCTGCCTGCTGCCATTCAGCATAGGCAAGGTGGAAGACACTAGAGGCTGCAAAGATGAGCAAGTGGGTGGTGGAGAGATGGGAGAGAAAGAGAGTCAGAATGGTGTGTGCATATAGTGAAGGGCATTAGAACTGGAGGCTGGGTGTGCTGAGGACAGCCTGATGTGAGTAGCCTGCACTGCCATCTGAGGCCATAGTGAGGTTCTAGCCCAGGCTGCCACCAATCACCATGACTGGGTCTGGGTTCATATCCCTGCAACAGTTGTGTCTATTTTCATGGCCCATGTGACCACCAAAGGCCAAGATGATGTCCCTGGTCTGATCTGCTGCCTAGAGCCATGTTGATATCTAAGGGATGGGATGGCAGGGCCCTAGGGCATGTGAAATCACCATGCCATATTGAACTGCAAGAGAGACTTTAAAGAACAGCAGCAGGGTTGTTATAATCAACCACACTTTTCTAATCCACTCATTAAGGCCAGAGCCCATGGTTCTCTAAGATCAAGTTCTTTCTGTACCTACCTGAACAAAATAATGGTCTCGTTGACAAAGAGGTGGGAGTAATAGGCCACATTAGCAACAATCCATTTGACTACAGCTTCCTAGTGCCTTTAAAGGCCAGCAAAGTTCTGGAAGGTACGTGAGGTGCAGTTTGTCTGTCAGCTGTGGCTCACAGTATTATATGTACAAGTGCCATGTTGGGGAATGTCTATGAATAAAGACCTTGTTGGATCCAATTAAAAAAATGTTATGCTTTACAGCAAATAGCTGCAGCACACATGACACATGAGCAGATAGTATCTGTGCCCTGACTCAGATTCTTTTCTTACTTTCAGAGTCTTTGTGATGGTTAATCTTGTTCATTTGGATTAGAATCACCTAGGTAGGGGCTTTGTAAAGTACAGCTCATATCTATGAAGGCATTTTCTGCAAGATAAATTACAGAGAGGGGAAGCAATTCTGATTGCAGTGGTACAACCCAGTAGGCTAGGGTCCCTAAGGAACAGAATCAGGAGGAGGAAGCCGAGAGGGATGCCATGCTAACATCCATCCTCACCCTCTCCCCTTCTTCTGCTCAGATTGGTTGTTAGAACAACAAAAACCTAACCCCACCCTATGACAGTGAGTTTCAGTATATCTGAACCTAACGTAGACTGTCCCATCTTCTTCCCCAACAAAACTCATCTCCACACCATTACAGTTACCTTCTTTGCATCTGGATGTTACTTGCTTGTATTGAACAGGAAAGAAAAAGTCCAAGGAATGTGATAGCAGGTGAAATCCCACATTCCTCTAGATGTCTGACTGAAGAATGAGTAAACAAGCTTCATGTCATCCTCAGCAAGTTTCTAAACACATGTGCTAGACGCGAGGTCCTTGAATAGGAACTTGAGGTAATTTTTCAGATAACAAGTTTCAAGATATATTTATCGCTACCTGAGAGCACCAATCTTTCCACGCCATTTTTAGCAACTATCTTTACAAGCCATTTGTCAAAGGTACTGCCAGTGGTAAGTCTAGAGTGTTCCATTTCCAAACCTGAGCACTTTTAGGAAAACTCTGTATCGTCCAAGTCCAATAAAAACGTTTCATTCTTACGAGGCCAGCGTGCAAAGATGTGTGCTGCCATAGCACAGGGTCTCTGACAGCAGGCTCTCTGGCCTGGTTCTCATTCACCATCCCCAGCACCTTCTCACAGAAATGCCCAGTCTTTGATGAATTAGCACCACAGGCATCTGTCCTTCTTGTGCTATGTTGCATGCACTGCACTCGCTTCTCCTTGAGCATCAAGGTCTCAAAACATCTCCAGAGCAGTGGCATGTCCCAGGTGAGGAAGAGCAGGAAGAAGACAGGCCAAGTTAAAGCCACCCATTGGGTTTTGTGTGAGAAATTCTCAAGAGTCCCTCAGTAGGGCACTGGCTACAGGAAGACAGAGAAATTTTCCTTCAGGGAGCTACCTATTATGAGGAACGTGTTTAGCAGCAGGGGTTGTATAAGAAGAGGCAACCCTGTTCAAGCTATGTAGTCAATCTACCTCACTTAGTCCTACCTCACATGGTTGTAATACAGAAGCTTTTAGCACCAGGTCCCCCTCACGAGTAAGGAAACTGAGGCACTGAATTAAACCAGTGCCCTACACGGTAGCTCTAACATTGCTACCACCTTAAGCTCAGCCACCTTACTTTAGTGTATGTGAGACATCACCACATTTCTTGGTTTCCGAGAACCTCAGTCTCCTCCCTGTCAAGGCAGCAATGGGGAGGGAAGGTGATGGATAAGTGGTTTTCCAAGTCATCCTGGTGGTAAGCCCCAAAATAAATCTTTCTGAGTAGTCAAATTCAGAGAAACGCGAATTATAGAGGTGGCTGGGGGTTCGCAAAGGGTTGAGAAGAAGTCATTGCACATAATGCTTAGATTGGTTCTGCGGGAGGAAAAGTCTTAGGAGTCCCACACAAAGTGCTTCACGGAACTACACAATTAAAATTACTAAGGTGGTAAAGTTTACATCGTATGGTTCTTACAAGAAAGAAGAAATCTTACCCAGCAGCTCTCTAACTAACTCAAGCTGAAGCCACCTGGTTCAGCAGTAAGTAGCCCAAGATTCCAGACCCTCCCCTACCCATTCTCCCACCCCAGCTGCCAAGGGCTTTCATTAAGCACTTAACTTCTAGATTCTAGGATGAAACCAAAAGCTTCAGAATGAGCCATACTTGCAAATCTCTCTCAGAAGTCTCTGCGGCCTGTTTACTGTCAAGTCAATGCCTGGCCATGGTCCATAAGACCGTCACTCATGCGGTCCTAGTTTAGGTGTTCCCCTATGCCCTTACACTTCAATCACAACTGAGCAAGGTCACAGGCCAGATCCTGGCACATAGCATCTTTTGGTGTCCCCAGCTGCTCCTACTGAGTAGAATCCAAGCTCTTCTTGCTGAGTACTTGTGTGAGAGATGAGGGTGCTACGTGTTCCTGACCTGAGTATAGATGAGGCTCTATCCTCATACTTGTCTCCTCCAAGCTGGCCAGCTCCCATAGCTTCTCTGTTCCGAGGGTGTCACAAGTATCAGGACCCTCCAATAGAAGACTTGATGGTGTAGTTGGAAGAGGCTATGATGCTTATGAACAGTGACGTCTCCTGCCATGTTTCATCCTGAGGAGGAAGGAGAGAACAGACGCTGGGGGATACAGCCTTACACACACAGCAGCTTGAGTTTGTACACCAGAGAGCTGCAGAAAGACAGTCAGTCGACGGGGTCATTTGCACCTTTAACCGGTAATCCTACTCTAGGGCAGAGCAGTGAGCATCTTTGTCTGGGAGGCTGTTCAGATCTTTCTTGGGCCCCTAGGTGACCCACTTCCATCACACAGAAGTTCTGCTTACACTCTTCCTGTCCATCACTCACTCTAGTCCTCCCATCCTAGTTCACATGGAATTGATAGGAAGGAGGTAGAATAGGAAACAAGGCATTTGAAGGGGAAAGCCACGCTTCCTAGCTTAGATCTGCATCAACTCCTCTGCCGACAACAGGAAATTATTTGGCTACCCAAACAGAGAAGCCCATTTCTCTTTGTAGGGAGCACGGTGATTATACACACGAGAGGGAGTAAATAAGATAAAAGACATAATGCTCACTGGATTTTTCACTGGGTGAGCAGAATGAAAATCATTTGAACATATCCCTGTGGAAAAAATAATCAATTTTTCATAGACTTGTTATAGGTTTCATAAAATATATTGCACACATATTTTTAAAGTAAGAAAATGGCTTTTTAATGATACTTAAAATATATGGCATGGCAAAAATTATCTAAAATGTGTTTCTGAGGTCTGAAGTTTGGCACTGCCTGATGAAATATAGATGATTTGGGTAAGCTTGTCTTCTTGGGATAAATGTGGAACCCAGTGCATCTTATTATAAAGCTAATATGAAGAACTTGGTACTCAGGCAGTTAAGTAATTGGCATAAATCCTCCCAAGTTATTAAATCCCCTAAACTTCTACCATTTACCAGTTGCCCAGTGGCCTGTGTACATTAAATAACTGCTTTTAACCCAGAGGCCAGAAAAAGAAAAAAAAAGTTCACATAGAAGAAGCCAACCTAACACAGAACAAATACAGTCATCATCAAGAGAAGTAAGGTAACCACTCAGCTAGCAGACGTTCCAGACCAAGGCCCAGAGCCAAGAACACAGGACTAA